GTTGAGTCAAATGTAATTCTGGTTAAATCAACCGGAAAATCTGGTTGCGAAATACAACCAGAAATTCTGGTTTGTGACATCAGAACTTTTTTTCAGTGTATATGAGCGAAGCAAACACTTCTTTTCGCCTTGTGATGATTATAAAAGTTTGGAAAAGCAAGTTTTTCAAATGAAATCCAACCAACAGATCGCTCAACACTTTTGTCTTCCGTAGGCCCAGTCAACACAAGGCGGCAAATAAGTGTTAATGTCCGAAAATAACCTCTCTATTCCGAGGTAGGTAGTGCAGGATCTCTAAAATCAGTATATTGTTGGAGTTTTCCACGCATTTATAAGACCGGGGGAATGATTTGATCACTGAATTATTCTTCAACGTTTTTTTTTTTTTGCGAACAGGAAAAGACCTCGCAACATGTTGGCGCTGTTGGCTTGGCTACAAATTCATAATTCCAAACAAACTTATTGACGGTTTTTGGTGCGCGAGTTTCGTGATTTAGTGCGCGTTAACCTGGAAATTTTTGCCAAACTATGCTCTTATTGAAAAGGTAGTAGTACTCAACGGTATCAGATGACACTTCGCGTGTCTCAAAGTGACGTAAAACTCCGGAATTCATCCTCTTTTGTGAATTTCAAGTAGTTTCCTCCAATTTAACTCTGATTTTCGCCACCATTTTTCGACGTATCTTGCAGATAAGCAATTATTGCAGATAGCATTAATATTGTGACCTTTCCTCCGTTTTTCCTCACCACCCTCAAGTGCCCTCATTCCAAATGGTGGTTATCGTTTTCCGGTCGCTCGCCAACCGCAGTGCGTTGTATTTACGCTTATGTCAACTTCTAACCAATCGTGTTCCGATTACGTTTCTTGCCTAACACTCACAAATATCAACATCATTCCTAGTTATTTTAAAACCGTCGGAATTTCAAGTACTCAGCTCAGTGCTAACGCCGACGTAGTTGATACACGAAATAGTGCAACGAGTTATCAACCGATCCAGAATTAGCGCATCAAGTTGCCTACAGATCTGGGGATAGTGCGTCAAATTGCCTACCGATCAAGGCGTTCGTTTCGGATGGAATTTCTGCGTGTAGTGCACGTGAGGATTTATGAACGTGAGGAGGGACTCAGCTAGCGACCACGCGGCGATCCCCAGGATTGAATAATGATTATGCCCGAGTGTGTTAGTCCTTGCAGCCCGATGTTGGCACTCTGCGCTCCGACTAAAGTCATGCTCGGCATCGGCACTGCTCTCTCGTCTGCCCTGTCCGCCGCTGAAAGGAGGCATTCCACTGCTCTCGCTCAGTAAGTCGCCTCCTAAACTTATCTTTGTACACTGAAAAAAAAATCTCGGAGTATTTACTAAGAAAAGGGTAAAATTACCAAGAATTCAGGGTTCTATCTGATCCCAGGTTTTTCTTGGTAAAATTACCATTAATGGAATCGGTAATTGTACCGAGAAATCTCGGTAAAATGATTGAACTTTCTCGGTAATTTTACTGGACCTTGGTAAAAACGCCAATATTTTTTATCGACCCTGTGGTAGAATTACCGAGATAAAATGGCAAAGTTACCGGGAATTGATGACCAATAAAAGTGGTATTTGTACCTGAAAAATACAGTAAAAATACCCGTTTTTAGGTAAGCTTACCAGTCTGTCTTGATAAAATTACCAATAATCGGTAAAAAAAGTGAGATTGTAAAGGTACCAACGGACCTTGGTAAAAACGCCGAGAATTTTTTTTTCAGTGTAACCAGGGCTGCCACTGTCGGGGAAAACCGGGAAATGTCGGGGAATTTTTAAAAGTTATACGGAGAAAAAAACTCCGTGCATGCGACCCGAAGTTGAGGTCATATGGATCTCTGAAGTTTTCGGATCACGCGTCCGAAAACTTGAGGTCCAACTGCCGAAGTTCGGGTTAGACTTCTGAAGCTCTCGGTATGTACCGGAGTACTTCAGATGTGTGACCTGAACCCTTTGGTATATACCGAAGTACTTCAGAAGTCCGACCCGAACTTCGGCAGTTGGACCTCAAGTTTTCGGATGCGTGATCCGAAAACTTCAGAGATCCGTATGACCTCAACTTCGGGTCCCATGCACGAAGTTTTTTTCTCGGTGTAGGGCAAACCGGGGAATGTCAGGAAAACTTTGTCAATAAATCACCTTCGTTTGCCTTCTAGAATGAGTTTAAGGTTTCGAACAACAAATTTTGCCTGAAAACTATTTTCAATTGTGCCTTTTTAACCACCCGTCACATCTTCAATTGTCAGGGAATTTCACCAAAATGTGTCAGGAAAATCAGGGAAATGTCAGGGAATTTCTTTTTCTAAATTCTGTGGCAACCCTGTGTAACTCTTGAGAATTCATGGCTCAACTTAAAAATCACTTATCTCAACTGCAACGTTTTAATCTAATGCCAATTTTTAATTTTTTGGAAAGACTTGAACTCAAAAGTGCCGCTGGGAAAAAAGTCTCTTCGATCCAGCCGAGTCCAGACTCTTACGAAAATTTGGCAAGAAAAAACTCTTGATTTAATCAGATTTTTGCTTGAATCAAAAGGAAATCCGCTTTAATCAAGAGGCTTGCGTCTCGCGATTCAAGCAAAAAACCAAATGAATAGGGAGTATTTTTTCTCGTCAATATTTTAACAGACTGGACTCTGGATTCATGAGATTTCTTTTTCTAGCGTGTTTAAAATTTTAACAGGGTAATACGAAAGGAACACTTTCTAAGAGCGGTTTAAGAGCGGAGGCTGCAAAATGGAAATATATTACATGTGTGAGGAATTTGCGATTTGACTGTTAATTCTCATGTGAAAGTTCGCGAGAAACACGATGGTGCCACTGGTTTTCTCTGAAATCATCTCCCAAGTTCAAAAAAGCTCTCAAGTTGAGGCCAAAACGGAGGGGATATCCCACGCTATCCTGAGAGTCCACCTCTACATCAAGACAAACTCTCCATGCAAAGATAGGGAGCAAATACATTATCAGGGTTGCCGTGTTTTCAGTTTTAGAGTCTCCAAATAAAGTGGCAGCCCTGTCAATGTATTTGCTCCCTATCTTTGCATGGAGAGTTAATTGTTTTGATGTAGAGGTGGACTCTCAGGATAGCGTGGGATATCCCCTCCATTTTGGCCTCAACTTGAGAGCTTTTTTTGAGCCTGGGAGATGATTTCAGAGAAAACCAGTGGCACCATCGTGTTTCTCGCGATCTTTTACATGAGAATCAACAGTCAAATCGCAAATTCCTCACACATGCAACATCTCCATTTTAAAATAGAACCATTTCATTAAGCTTGAACGTTTGATTACGGGAATCTGAGATCGGTCATCGAGTCCTGGAAAGGCAGTCGCCTGGATTCGTTTCGACATAAGAGTTTTTACAAAAGCGACTAATAATCGATTACTCGAATGTCATGCGATCCGATTGATCGATCGATTTTTAAAATTTCGATCAACTGTTCAATCGACTATTGATTCATCCAAACTTATTAGCTTTCCTGTTTCTACATCAGCCCAGAACCTCCGAAAATTCCAGCTCGCGAAGTCCGAAATTGGTAGTTTCTGATTGCAAAATATAGTCGAATCGATGGCCGAATCTTCGATTTTCCAAAAATTCAACGAATCGATTCATCAGCTAACCAAAAAATTCTCCGTCTCGGAAACCATCCTCATTCATGCGGCTAGCCCCGCTTCCGTCGTCCGTCGAATCGGCGCGTCTCGCGTGGCGTCGTGATCTTGAACTTGCCGGTCGCGGACCCAAGGAGGCGCGGCGCGGCGCACAATGGATCGAGTCAGTCGGACAATCGGACATGAAATTTTAGCCTTAAACTCCAAATTTTCATGTTTATTTCACTGGAAAAAAAGTCGCTTGGATCCAGAGTCCAGACTTTTCAAAACATCGACAAGAAAAAATACTCTCGATTCAATCGGACTTTTTGCTTGAATCAAAAGGAAAGCCGTCTAAATCAAGAGGCTCGGCTCTTCGATTCAAGGAAAAATCGGATTGATACAAGAGTATTTTTTCTTGTCAATGTTATCAAGAATCTGGACTCTGGATCCAAGCGACTTTTTTTTTCCAGTGTTTGTTACATTTCGGACTATAAAGGGTGCGACTAGAAGAAAATTTCAAAAGGAAACCAATGGAACCTTTTTTAGAACCTCAAAGTATTGTATAAACGGACAACTCGAAAATTTGGAGGTAAGGTTTGATCTAGTCATGCAGCTCTTGGGGTCCCAAAAAGCAGCCAACCTTTGAACTCGAATTATCCAAGGGTACCATTCAAACTCCGAGAGTAGGTTCATCGATCAAAAATTATAAAAGAACGTATAAAATTTTGATTTCGCATACATTTTCTTAGTTTCAAAGTCTCAATCCTTAAAAACGCTCGTTTACAATGCGCTGTCGCCCGTATTGATTAATCTTTCAAATGCACAGGTTGGCAGCGGGTCTTTTCTAGTGATTTTCGTTTTTCACGTTGTCGCCCTTTTGGGCTCTAAGAGCTACATAATTCGAGTCGTCCATACTCTCCCTATAAAGGTACTCTACTTAAAAGGTCAGCCTCAGTGGTGTAGTGGTCAAGGCAGTTCGCTGCCAACACTGAGGTCCCGGGTTCAATCCCCGGAGGTGACTGATATTTGAGGACACTCAAATATCAGTCATCGTGACTGTGGATGACTATGCCACTCCAATACCCCTGACCCTTCGAGGTTACAGGGTGCGGGAGGGACATAGTCACCCAGTAAGTAATCCGTCTGCACTGTTCGACTGGGTTGTGAAAAATCGGTAATCACTCGTAGTGTGCGCGACTGCCAGCGCTACCTATCAGTGTAGATTGCAACAACACAGTCCAACTCGGTGGAGGCATGGCCGTGCTCCGAAAGTCCGTGCTCTGCAGCGTCTGCCACAGTCTTTGATAAGACCTTCCGTTGGCTATCAGACGGCCGCTGAGCCTTGCGGGAATATAGTTGATACTCAATGTGTCAATAGTACGAAGATAAGTTAAGGAGTACGGTCCAACTTCGGGGTGCACGACGGCAATTGCCAGTTGCCTTGGCCCCTTGAGGGCGCCTCGCCGGCCAGCCCGGCCTTACTTACTTACTTACTTACTTACTTACTCTACTTAAAAGCGTTTAAAGTTTCCACATTTTGTCCGACCTCTCCTATTGATTCGATCCACACTGGAAAAAAAAACACATTGGATCTAGAGTCCAGACTCTTGAAAACATTCACAAAAAAAAGGAATCTTGATTTCATCAGATTTAAGCTTAAATCAAAAGGAAATCCGCTCAAATTAAGAGGCTTGGTTCTTGATTTAAGCTTAAATCTGATTACATCAAGAGTATTTTTTCTTGTCGATGTTTTTAAGAGTCTAGATTCTAGATCCAATGCGTTTTTTTTTTTCCAGTGCACTGTGCGACGTCGCCGCCAGGATCAACCAGCGCGGAACTTGGACGCACGATCACGACCTCAACGGCGTCCGAAGAAAAATTCCCACTCGGGGGGCCTGTGCTAGCCGCACGCAGCTCGAGATCGAGATGCATTGCCGAAATTCGGAACAAGGCGCCTTCTTCAAATCATGGGGTCACATCTAGAGGGGCGTGATTGCGTCGATGTAGAGCCGCGCTTCACTGCTTATTTACTAAAAAATATGTTAGGGTTTAAAAAGAAAAAGAATAAAAAAAAATTATAAGGCAGTTGAATCAGGGTGTCTACAAGTCCGGGATTTCTAGAAAGTCCGGAAATAGCTCTGATTTTTTAAGGGCGGTCCGGAAGTACTAAAAAAATCCGGAAATTCCGCAAGGAGGTCCGGAATTTTTTTCATTTCCGAGCGAGAAATTCAAATTTTAGAAATTTTTCGAATTTCGTCAAATGGAGGTACTGACAAAGTACTGAATTTTTCTATTGAGGAGGCACTGAATTTCTTGAGAAAGTACTGAAAAAGCACCGTAAAAGTACTGATTTTTGGCCAGCCTGTTTTAGTAGACACCGTGATTAAACCCCTCTGACTCTGACCACTTTTAGAAAAGTAATAGGCTAGGGTCGCATCGGTAGCAAAAGACCGGAAAAATTGTCGACCACTTTGACAAGATAAGCATTAAAGCACCACAAGTCATACCGCTTCATCGAAAGTGCCCGTAGATCACGTTTGACGTGTTCAGAAAGTCCAGATAATCCATGAGAAAGAAATTACTGTTTATAGTCAGAGGTGCAGGCATTTCAAACTACCCGCTTGCTACATAACAAGAGAAAAAAACACGTAAAACGAACACAGGTCGAATAGGTCATTACCAACGAACTTAAA